TTTTCCATTTCTTAACAATTTAGTCACACAGATATCTTCATAAGTATTTGTTAATAAAAGGCTAAATAACAATTTTGTTGATTTTTCACATGGTTAATTTGATTAACTTCTAAATTTGCAATTTTGTCAAAAATGAAATGGAGTGTTTCATTTTCCCCAACGACTTGAAGTAAGATGCATTCATTATCCATATCAGAAATAAAGTCAACATTGCGTTGGTTAAAGTACCCATATATATGTATATAGGTCGAAATCGCAATTAATACTCCACCTCCCGATTTTTTCCAGACCACTGAAAATTGCGGTCGTCTCTATAAACGTTATAATTGTTACCAAAAACTTCTTCACTTCTCACACTATCATCCCAACTTGTTTAATTAGCCACTATGACAGAGTAAGTAGAACTTAATATATTTTTGTTAATTTCATTCATTTTACCGGCGCTTCTCATGCGGTTAACATTTTGGCAATATACCAAAATTTCTGTAGTGGTCTGAAGATTAGGTGAAGAAGTTGATGGTAACCTGTCATTCATAAAACTATTATCAAAATTATTTACCCCTGATCCATGTTCCGAATTTGTTTCGTGCTGCAAAGTGTCGTGATCTTCGTTATTTTCGATACTTTGCCTTAATCTTATAAACACTACAACTTCAAAAACATCATACATAACGGGTGTTCAATAAAAAATGAGAATGATTTCAGTGCCGTGCAGCGCTTTTGTGAGAGCATCGCGACTTAGTTGTGTCGTACGGCTGACAAGAATAAACATTATATTTTTAATAAAAAAAAATACTGAATTCGTACAAAAAATTGTTACAAAAATGCAAAGCTGTATGAAAATTTTAATTAAAAAGCACAAAACGTACCGTAATGCACCTAAAACCGGACAGTCCATTAATTAGTACATCTACTTTGTAACATAATGGACATATCTGATGATTCTGAACGATCATAAGTCATAATACATTTTACTTGCTGATTTTAAGAGATGAACTAGCCTCAGGCTAAAAATCTCTAAAATAAAGAAAAAAAAAAAAAAAAAAAAAAAAAAAAAAAAAAAAACTTGCTGATTTGAGCATGGTAGGCTTTGATAATTAACTTTTAAAAGTGTTCGGATTTATGGACGAAGTGTCTGAATTTCAGTGCATTACGGTAACAGAAATTTACGTTTTACTTTTATTTATGTTGCGTTAAAATCTTGTTGGACGTACGCTCAGCATCTAAGCTGCTTTTACAGACGCTTTGTACATATATAGATTATACATGCTTTGATACATTTGCTTTGTAAACAAATATCACCCAGACAGAATTATTATCCAGTATGTCAGCTGCACTCTTCAATAATCACAAGATAATTTTGATATCATATTTTGCACATTACATAATAATTGTTGTATCTTCTGTTACACAACATTTAATCGGTGTTATTCATCACAGTAAAATTAGGTCATGGTGAGCCTTCAGGTAATTGTTAAATTGAACATCATTGGCAAACCAGCCGATGGCTGAAAGCCTTGTAAATAAAGAATTAAAAAATAACATCATTAAAGCATCATTGCAAACACTTTAATCAAACTGTTAAGGGCCACGTAAAATGAATCCGGTTGCATTGCGTTTGCGTTAATTCTACAGTTAACACATGGGTTAACGATATTTAAAGTAGCTTTGGAGAGTCTGCTTGGAATAGGGTCTTCCCTGGCTTAAAACGTTCGTCACTCTACGTTTATGAAAACTTGCACAAATCCGAAGTGCATAATTTCAAAACATGTTTTTTTACTGTGCATGCATTATAGAAATATGAAAAATTAAAAACAGCAAAAAAATAAATTTATACTATTCTTAACTCTATAACCCAGGTTTATTATTTGCTCACAGCACCGAGAAGGGAAGATTTTATTATGTGCCAGGAATCCTTGAGGGCATAATTATTGAATAATAGAAACTTCAAATTTTTGAAAACTTGAACAAATCCGAAGTGTATAATTTCAAAATATGTTTTTACTGTACATGCATTATAGCAATATGAAAAATTTAAACAACAAACAAAAAAAAATATACTATTCTCAACTCTAGAACCCAATTTTTTTCTTTGCTCACAGCACCGAGAAGGGAAGATCTTATTATGTGCTAGGAATCCTTGAGGGCATAATAATTGAATAATAGAAACTTCAAATTTTTGGAACAGGTATACACTACACTCACCGGAACTGAAACACAATGAGAGCTCGTGGTCTTCTTATGCTTTTACGGTGTGATTGCTCCAAAAATCCTTATCATGTTAGTTCATCCATTCTGTGAATCGGTAAGAAACACCACAGTGGGTGTATCATTTCAAACATAGAATTCGCTCTGCATCTAACCCGTCTAAGCAAAGCAACAGCTCGCAGTGTAGGAGATAAAGGAATGGAAATTATGTGTTTGGTATGCTTTTGATCTGTGAGCGCTGTGTTCTTGTGAAACAAGGAAGAAAGAAAATGGGTGCATATTGCACAAGAATTCTATACACCATCTATGTAAATTGGAAAACCAAAATCTTAGACCAGGTGCCATTTCTTAAAAGTACGGCATTCTCACAATCAAGCGCATGTCTAAGCTATTGCACTTTTTGCTAGATTTTCCTTTTTTTCACATAGAAATCAAATTGCTTTTTATTTTGTCTTATTCGCCTCTTCATTGCTATTGGAAATGTAGAAATGTTTTGGCAAGGTAGACAAACTGGTGAGCATTTTCAAGAACAAAATAATGTTGCACCCATGTTCTTCGACTTCTGCTCGGGAAAGCATCCTGCAAATATGGATGAATAAAAAATGACGATTTTAGTCCCCAAACAAATCGAGACGTACGACGAATCAGCCGTGTGCAAAAAGATGATTGTAGTCACAACCCCATGCCCAGAGGGCACGAATTGGAAATGCAGATTTTCTAGCAATCTGGCTTAGGTGGGTAAAAAGATTCCAATAAGGTGTGTTGAATCTAATTTTGAAGAACTACCCTTCCGTAATTATCGACCTGAGATAAGCTACCGTCGTCTGATTTCCAAAAGTATAGGAATGATTTTCTCATGAGAATTAATAACAGAGTGTGTATGGATTGTGTGTATGTGTGACTTTATGGATTTTTGCTAAGTAGAAGGTTTAAAATGTTCGCTCATATTGGCTGCATTTTTGTGCATGGATAAACAAAATTGTGTCAACAAAATTGAATTGCTGAAGATCAAACAAAAATATATGAACTTGGTTTAGTATGATGGATATTGGTTAAAAACCAAATTTTTGAGGCGATATTTGGAAGAAAAAAATTGTTCCAAATAACCGTATGTAAGAACCCTTCGAAAGTGTAATGCGTACCAACAATCTTTTGAACATATATTCTTCATGTTTATTTTATATTTTTCTTTTCTATTCTTGTAGATGATATAGTCAAAAATGAAATATTAAACAATGAGTCGGACAATTCGGATGATTTCGATGACGATGACTTGACTTCTGGGAGCTTTTGTTCTGGTAAGTAGGTCATGATTATTGATAACATTTTTCATCGAAAATTATTAGATGTAACAAATATTTTTCATAAAAATAATAGGGTCTATGTTAGATGTCGCTATGTTTAATTACACGGTGTTACACGGCACGAAACATTTCAAGTAACCTATTGTAGGTTGTTAGTCTAGTCGATATCTAACTCTAACAACCCTAAAATTTAAAGTGCATGTTAAAAAAACGATCGTATACCCCATGTAACCATAGGCACGTTATTTTGCCTTTTTGGTTATATACAGCTGAACAACGGCTATATGTAAATTCTGATGAAGACAACTAGTTTCCAAATAAAAGTAAAAAAATAAACTCAATATTTGACCTACGATTCTTACGTAAAATCGTTCGCTAAGTCCAAAAATTTCTCAACAGAATAATTTTCAAGATGCAGCTAAAGAATTGAATTTCACTTAAAGAAAATGCTTTTCTACAAAAAAAAATTTTCCGGCTGTAATGAAGCTATATCAAGCTATAGCTCACCATTTGTCAGTGAGATTAGTGGTATTGTTGATAACTAATAGAATGTTGATTTTTAATTTGCATTTTTTTTTTGCGAATTTGCAAAAAAAATAGCGGCACCGGTGGTGTAGTGGTAAGCGTGATTACCTCCCACCCCAGCAGGCCTGGGTTCAATCCCAGTCGGCGCCGCCGGGATGTTCTAAGGCATAACATCTTTGATCACGTCTTCCTTCGGAAGGGAAGTAAAGCCGTTGGTCCCCGGTTCATGAGTTGATGGGTCGATAGGTAGGGTGTGGGAGCTGCCTTCCTGGCGTCGGTAGCATTAGTGCTCAGCACGGAAAACAAGATCGACGGAAAACAAATCAAGGAAAAAAAAATTTTAAGCAAGGTAAAACACAATAAAAATAATGATAGAGAGAGAAGGATTAGTGTGGGAATCAAGTGCTCAAACTCACAGGAACAAAGTCCAGGTGGCACAAAACAGAGTGCTTAGGATGATCCTCGATCGTCCTTTCGACACTAGAATAACAAATTTATACGAAGAGGCAGACATTCCAAAAATAGATTCCAGAATTAACGAAATTAAGACTAAATTTGCACAAAAATGTAATATATCAGAACATGCTTTAATAAGTAATTTATATATAGTAGTTTAGGTGTATATAGTAGTTGTAGGTTAGTTGTAGTTGTAAATAGTAGTTATAAGTAGTTTCCCTTTTCCAATTTAAAACAAACCAATCCCACCAAGGTGGTCATTCTTAAAAACAGGCCTGATAGAACTAGGAACTTTAAATAATAATTAAAAATTTCAAATGTTGAAAAGACGCATCTGTGTCACTTGTTAATTCATACATGTAAATCCACACAAATACCAGAAATGAAGATCATTTAAAGACAAAAAAAAGTCTCATTGACGGCATTCTTATGACGGACTGTGGAGAGAGCGGATGCAAAGGACCACCAGCATAAGAGATAGCTGGAAACCTTGGTCCAATCACGACAATGGCGCAACTCGGTAAGTGAGAACCATCCTCTTTCTAGCTAGGATGCTACTGGCGCTCCCTGAGAGGGCAGTTGAAATTCTCCCGAAAGGGTAGATGAAATTCCCCGAGAGACTCTAAAATAAAGATTAAAAAAAATCCCCGAGAGGGTATATGAAATTCCCCCCGAGAGGGTAGATGAAATTTCCCCTAGAGGGTAGAAAAAAAGTTGGAAGGGTTGTATACTAGATTCGACCGCAGGGTTGGCGTTGGATAACGTCTGTTATGTGTTGTACTTAATTGTGTATATTATATTTTAGGAATATTCCTTAATAACTCTCTTGCGAAAGTTTGGTGGCCCTGAAAAGGGCCGTTTTGTTGGGCTGATGTTGTTAACAATGATGGAACGGGCGACCTTGTTGGACGCTTATATAGTAGAACAGAAAATATCAGAGGTGTCAGATACTCGCATACGTACGTTAAACTCTTTCTTGATAATGTTGTGGCCCTGAAAAGGGCCATTTTTCCAACGCGCTCGGCGTAGTTGCCCTTGCGGAGCAGACGGTGAATACGACCGACTGAGAACTGCAGCAACTGGGCATTCCATGACGGCGGCCCAGTATACCGGAGCACTGGCACCAACGCACTCGGCGTAGTTGCCCTTTCGCCCCCAGGCTCTGCTGCCGCTGCTCTGCTGCCGTTGCTCTGCTTCCGCTGCTCTGGTACTGCTGCTCTGCTGCTGGGTCGACGATCGGATAGACAATGATGGAACGGACGACCTTGTTGGACGCTTATATAGTAGAACAGAAAATATCAGAGGTGTCAGATACTCGCATCTGATGTCTCGGTTGGATAAAGTATAAGAATATAAAAAAATCAATCGCTTTTCACCATCTTTAGACAATGGTTTACTTTTAACCATTTTTCAATAGTTTACAGAATTAAATCAATAGTTTTGAAACATTCAGCAAATTGCTAGAAATATTTCCAATCGATTGATGCCATTATCTCGTAAATCTATTGAGAGACGGTTGAGTTATTATCGTTCAAAATCTTTTAATTTTTCGTAACGCATCCAAAATGACTGTTTTCAATTTTGTACCCCCGTATGTTGCCGAAAGACGTTATCCAACGTCAAAATTCCTCCGAGAACCATCCTCTTTCTAGCTAGGATGCTACTGGCGCTCCCTGAGAGGGCAGTTGAAATTCTCAAAAAAAAAACCCGAGAGGGTACATGAGATACCCCCCGAGAGGGTAGATGAAAATTCCCCGAGAGGGTAGAAGAAATTCTTACGAGAGGGTCGAAGAAATTCCTCCGAAAGGGTAGAAGACATTCCTCTGAAAAGGTAGAACAAATTCCTCCGAGAAGGTAGAAGAAATTCCTCCGAGAAGGTAGAAGAAATTCCTCCGAGAAGGTAGAAAACATTCCTCCGAGAAGGTAGAATAAATTTCTCCGAGAAGGTAGAAGAAATTCCTCCGAGAAGGTAGAAGACATTCCTCCGAGAATAGAGATGAACTAGCCTTCGGCTAAAAATCTCTAAAATAAAGATTTAAAAAAAAATCCTCCAAATAGATAGAATAAAATCCTCCGGAAGAAATTCCTCCGAGAAGGTAGAAGAAATTTCTCCGAGAAGGTAGAAGAAATTCCTCCGAGAAGGTAGAAGAAATTCCTCCGAGAGGGTAGAAGAAATTCCTCCGAGAAGGTAGAAGAAATTGCTCCGAGAGGGTACAAGCAGGGTGCCTTCCATTCATTTTGACTAAAAAAATGTTTTATGAAATTATGGAATAATAAGATATTATGATGATATTTTGTATGTGTAAGTAATAAGAAGAGATTGTAAATTTTGTGTTACACACATCAAACCTGCAAATTTAGCTTTGACAGAGTCACAATGAGCGTTTTTCTGATCGCCTCTTCGCGAAGAGTGAAGAGCGAAGAGTGGGTGAGATAAATTACAAAATCGCTTATTGCGACTCTCATGTAGCAAAATTGGCAGGTATTATGTGTCAAACACAAATTCAACAATCTTTTCTTGTTGTTTACATAATCAAAATATTTTCATAATATCTTATTATTCCATAATTTCTTAAAACATTTTTTTAGTCAAAATGAATGGAAGGCACCCTGGGTACAAGACATTCCTCCGGGAGGCTAGAAGAAATTACCTCGAGAGGGTTGATAAAATGCCCCGAGAGGGTTGATAAATTGCCCCCGATCTTCAATTAAGGAGAGTAGGAAAGGGGAGGAAAGTAGTAGATAGAGTTAGTGTGTAATAGAAATGAGTAGAATCGAGTGAGCGTGAAACGTGATAGACCGTATGTAAACGGAATCTGATTGGTTCGGGAATTTTGATACAGCTAGAGGTACAAATATGAGGTACCGTAAAACGGGGTATCTTTGATAATGCGGGTAACTTTGATGGTGTATTATAAATATTAAATTTACACGCTGCGTATTTTTTTTTTCGAATTTGAAACATTGGTTCCATATTGTAGCTTAGGGTGTTTCCGATGATATCGTATATAGTTTTTATATAGTATGTGTTCCATATGTTACAAATATATTAAAACTATTTTCGTGTTTTTCGCGTTTTTCGAAAAAAGCACTCAAACCATCACTTATGAAATGTATTTCCGATATAGTCATCACAAATTCAATGTTCAATTCTTATTACTTATGATGTTTTCTGATTATATACTCATTCAAAGTTTCATATTTCAAGAACTAATTTGTTTGAGTTTCATCTATTTTTTCTACATTCATCGAGCATTATCAAAGTCACTTCAAATCAAAATACTGAAGTTCGTTCACAAAACTAAAAAAATAATGCAAATGCCTTAATTTCCGTTAAAAATATCACTAACTAATTAACTCTTGGATCCCCAGTACATGTTTTAAAAATATAAAATTGGAAAACATTCATTTCTGTAAAAAGTATTTAGAATATGCTTTAAAAAACTATCAATGTTACCTTGTCTTACGGTACCTAAGCTCGTTGACGGCAGCTCTCATTCTTTGCTCGAGTGTTGAGCTGTTTAGTCCGTATTTTCGCTCGAGATCTCGTTTCGATTTTGTTACGTGTTGTGCTGTCGCGTTGCGTCGCCACCTTCTCGCATTCTGGCAAGTTTAGTTGAACTTGCAAACACGAAACAAATGCTGCGTAAACGTGCCAATGAGACAACAGCGGGCCCTTCAAAGAAGGTGCTAATCAAGCCCAGGGCGTCGCAGGATGATGCCAGAAAACGGGTACTGCAAGCCAACCAGTATGCCGTTTCCATTGCAAGAAAAAAGCGGATTCCCCCGCTTTTTACGCCGGTGAAGGATGTTGCCAAGCTAGGTGCCGAACTGGCAAAACACAAGCTGCTGCCTCGCTTCAAACTTTGCAGCATCGGTACCAAAATCATGTGCTCCAGCCTGGAGGAGTACAAACAAATAGGATGTTTCCTGAAGAACAACAACGTGGACTTCTTCACGCATGATCTGCCATCGAGCAAGCCACTGAAGGTGGTTTTGCGTGGTTTACCGTCGCTCGAGGCGGCTGCGGTGAAATCCGAGCTGGAGTGGCTTGGGCTCAAACCTGAGGCCATGTTCCAGATGAACCGGCGTTCCAACAACAATACCAGCTTCCGTGACCAGTTGTTCCTGGTGCACTTCACGAAGGGAACCACCAGTCTTGCGGCTCTGAGATCCAAAATCCGGGACCTGTTTCAGGTCATCATCAGTTGGAAGCATTACAAACCCCAACATCGTGATTTTACGCAGTGTATGAACTGCCTCTCCTATGGCCATGGCACCAAAAACTGCCATATGAAGATAAACTACGGCAATTGTGCTAGAACTCACTCAACTGCGTCCTGTGAGCAAGTTGATGACATAGATCCAACGTGTGTCAACTGCGGTGGAAACTACCAAGCCTCCAATCGCGGATGTCCCAAGCGAGTGGAGTTCATTAATATCCGTCGCAAGGCTACAATCAACAACCAGCTCGGTCAACTCCGTAATCATCGTTCGCCTCCTGTACTCATGGAAGTCCAGTACCCAGCTCTCCAGCGACATGTTCCGAACCTAGCCCCGCTTCCGCTCAACAACCAACAAGCCAATCCTGCGAGTATCCAAATGGTTCGCAACAGCCCCTGGTTTATCATACGCTGGTGCTGTCTCAGGTGAACCTGTCGACGATTCTCCGTTCACCTCGGAGGAACTTGTGACGCTCGTGCCCGACGTCATCATCATCATGCGCACCTGCAAGACTCGATCTGAACAGCTACATGCTACCCTGTCACTTGTCACTAAGTATGGACCGTGAAGCCATCCTAGAAGAGCAAAAACATCGAGTTTGTTGACTTTCTCAACAAACGGCACATCGACATAGCCGTCATCACCGAGACTCACTTGAAGCCCGAGCTGAACGTCTTCCATCGCGACTTTCAGCTCGTAAGGCTTGACCGCACCAGCTCCGGAGGAGGGGGAGTGGCCATCGCTGCGAGACGGAACATCAGCTGCCGGCTACTACCAAGCTTCCAGCTGAAAATTATCGAAGCCATCGGAGATGAGGTGAGCACATCGCTTGGTCCAATCACCATCATCGCGCCCCAAGCAAACCAACATTAGGGACGGCTCGGCCGCATACCTCGGAAGAGACATCATCAAGCTAACACGACGGCGGCAAAATTTCGTCATCGCTGGCGACCTGAGCGCCAAGCATCAAGCCTGGGGCAATAGTCGGCGAAACCAGAACGGCACGATCTTATACAACGATCTGCAAGAAGCCCACTACAACATCTTGTGTCCGGACTCTCCCACCCGGTTTAGTCGATCTGGAGCTCATGCCACCATCGACATCTTCATCAGCAACATTGGCGATAACATCTCTCAACTCAATTTAAAACAGCACTTTTCAGTGCTCAACCTGTAAAATTTCTACCTTGTTCAACACTTATTCCTCTTCGATCCTTGTTTGGACCCTACCCGAGGTAATCCTTCTTGGATATCGATTTGGAAAATTCCTCTTCGATTCTTCAGATTCTTATAGTA